TTGAACATGGATGGCTTCTAAGAGAAATGATGGCTTGCACCACTAGTTTACTATCCACTTAGAGATTTATTTTCTGGTAACCCAACTACCAAGCTAAATTGAGTCCTTTACAAGTACCCTACAATTCAGCTCGGTATGCAGTGCACCTATCAAGGGTTGCAGAAAAACCACCAAACCAGTTGCCACAGGAATCTCGAAGTACTCCACCAGCTACTTGTCTAGTAATCTTTTAAAAGCACCATCTAAGTTTAAGGTAAGCCAGCCATGTGGAGAAGCTGTCGAGCCAACCAAGATCTCCTCCTTCCTACTTTCTAGTGCTTCAATACCATTTCTACTCTTACCAAAACTTTTGACAATAGCTTAAGCAAAACTTAGGATTGCATTTAGTTTCCCCTTTATTATTACATGCTTTCTTTCAAAAATTCACGCATTTCTCCATTTCCAAAAATACCAGCAGCTCAATCCAAATTGATCACCCACGGGATCTCCTTTATTGTTTGTTTGCAATGTGACAAATTATGTGACAACCAATTGGTTAAGCTTGAGCCGAAGAAAAGAGCTTGATATTTCTATGGTGCAAGCCGCAACCAGAGAGCACTAGCTAAAGGACAGTCTTGCAAGTTGTGCAGGATAGTTTCATCCTCCTCTGAACATTGCATGCAGTAAGAATTGCTGGATAAGTGACGCCTTACACATTCCTTATTGGGCAATAAGCATTTATGCATGCAATGGTACAAAAACGTGCAAATTCTTTGAGGCCCTTTCCAATGCGAGGCCATGTTCCAGGTCCTCTGTTTTTTGTCTTGAGTACCCATGTCTTCCTGTAACCAATTATAAGCAGATGAAACGAATAATAACCCAGATGAGGAATGTGCTCGATATGGTTCATCAATTCAATAGAAAGAAAGGTGGTGGTAAGGCATTTGAAAGGAGACTTCTGTCTTCATCTAGTAGCCATTCATTAAGGTCTTCAAAGTTCCAGCTTCCATTAAAAAGTATAAAATCACGAACCTTTCTATTATCATTAATGAAATAGCCCATCGATTGAGCTGGTTCAATTAAAGGTCTGTCCCCAAGCCAAATATCTATCCAAAAATAAGTAGTACGACCATTTTCGATTGCCCATCTAATATTTCTTCTAATGGTTGCCATGGTCTACCTATTAAATTTCAAAGAGCGAATATTATATTTTTCTCATAAAACTCTCACCCATAATTCATTTGGCTTAGTTACAATCTTCTTTCAAATTTTTATGCAGAATTCATCATCCATAGCCCATAAACAACGAATTCCCAAGCCACTTTCCTTTTTAGGTTTGCAAACATCTTGCCACTTGAGTAGGTTGATTTTATGATGTTTGAATCACCTCCCCATAAAAACTTCCTAAGACGTATCCTCTATCAGATGATGATTATCTTCGTCGTTTTCAAGCTTCTTGATTTGAATTATATCCTTCTTAGTTGGAGTATTTTTGTGACAAAAATGTTATATTTTGTTTGCCATGCTACCTTTTTGGTAAAAACACCTCAAATCATCCAAGTTCAAATACAGTTATTGAAAAGGGTTTCAAATATTGGAAGAAAGTCAATAATGGAGAAAATTGTCCACTTTTGAATCATGTTGGAAAAAATCCAAATTCCCCACATAATGTTGCTATAAAATATTGTGAGGGTTTATTGAAAATATACCAACATATTGATAAGCTTATCAAAAGACAAGCATTAGAAGAGATCTTGAATAATCGACTTAGGCTCAAAACTTCCTTAGATTGTGTTAGATGGTTAACTTTTCAAGCTTGTGCATTTAGAGGTCATGATGAAAGTCCATCCTCAAAAAATAAAGAAAATTTTATTGAAATGTTGAAATTCTTAGGGTCTTACAATGATAAAGTTCATAAGCTTGTCTTGAAAAATGCTCCAAGGGTTGTTAAGTACACATCCAATGATGTTCAAAAGGAGATTTTGCATTTTTTTTGCCAAATATGGTGAGAAATTCAATTAGAGAAGAAGTGGGAAATGCTAAGTTTTATATTATTATTGATGAAGCTCGAGATGAGCCTTAAAAAGAGCAAATGGCTATTATTTTGAAATTTGTTGATCGTGATGGTTTTGTTCAAGAACGTTTCTTTGATCTTGTACATGTTAGTGATACCAGTGCAATGACTTTGAAGAAAGAGTTAGTCTCTGTTTTTTCTCGTTATAACCTTCAAGTTGAAAGTATTCAAGGTCAAGGATATAACAGTGCCAGTAACATGCGTGGTAAATGGAATGGTTTACAAGCTTTGGTACTTAACGATTGTCCATATGCATATTATGTATATTGTTATGTTCATAGATTACAATTAGCATTAGTTGCAGCATCTAAAGAAGTAGTTCATATTCATAAATTTTTTACACAGTTGACTTTTATTGTAAATATTGTTAATGCTTCTTCCAAAAAACATGACCAATTACAAACTGCTCAAGTAATTGATATTGTAAACATGATTGCTAGTGATGAACTTGAAACAGGTAGAGAAACAAATCAAGTGGGAACTCTACAAAGAGCCGAAGATACTTGATGGAGCTCACACTTTCATTCTATTTGTAGCTTGATGAGAATGTTTGATGCAACCTGCACTGTTGTGAAAAGTATTATTGATGAAAGAGCCAGTTATTCACAAAGAGGTGATGCTTCTGCTGCTAGTAAAATATTAGTATCATTTGAATTTATTTTCATATTACACTTGATGCACGAGATCATGGGAATCACTAATGTGCTTTGCCAAGCATTACAATTATGCTCTCAAGATATTTTAAATATAATTCATCTTGTTTTTATGACAAAATCACTCCTTCAGAAGTTGAGAGATGATGGGTGGTCTAATTTACTTGAAAATGTGAAAAAATTTTATCAAAAATATGAGATAGAAATTTCTGACATGGACGCACGATATATCTTGGGCAGAGGTCGATCTCATCAACCAGATTCAACTGTGGAGCATCATTATCGAGTTGATATATTCTTAGTGACAATAGATACCCAGTTACAAGAGTTGAATTTGAAATTCAGTGAGCAAGCTGTGAAACTTTTAACTTTAAGCACTGCTTTGGATCCTAATAACAATACAAATCATTCAATATTAATAATATCTGCAAGTTAGCAGAGAGTTTTTATTCTCAGAATTTCACAGAACAAGAAAGACTTATTTTGAGGTTACAATTGAAGCATTACGAGCTCGATATACCTCATCATCAAAGTTTTGAAGATATTAAGACACTTTCTGAATTGAGCCAGAGATTAACAGAAACAGAAAAGTCAAAGAATTACCACTTAATTGATAGATTAATTCACCTTATTTTGACTCTTTCGGTTTTTACAGCAACTACAGAAAAACCCTTTTCAGCAACGAAAATTATGAAAATAAGACTCTGGAACAAACTAGACGATGAATTTCTTACAAATAATTTAGTTGTTTATATTGAAAAAGATATTGCTAGTCTTTTCAGTATAGAATCAATAATTGATAAATTTGAATCTAAGAAACATCGTTGAGCACAACTTTCTTAAACAACTATTATAAGTCTTTTTTTATTTTTTATTTAGATGTTATATAAAATTATTATCTATTATGAATCTTTTGATCATTGGTTAAATTCAATATATTAGTTTTAAAAATTTTTAGCTTTTATTTTTTTGGTCTTTAGCCCCCCTAACAAAAATTGGCTAGCTCCGCCCTTGAGTAGTACGACCATCTCTGATTGCCCATATAATATTTATTCTAATGGTTGCCATAGTTTAACTATTAAATTCCAAAAAGTGAAAAATCCAAATCGATTAATTTTAGCTCGTATCAAGTTGGCTCTAATATTATATTTTCCTTATAAAATTCTCACCCATAATTCATTTGGCTTGGTTACAATCTTCCAACAAATTTTTCTAAAGAATGCATCATTCATAGCCCATTAACGACGAATTCCCAAGCCACCTTCCTTTTTAGGTTTGCAAACATCTTGCCACTTAAGTAGGTTGATTTTATAATTATTTGAATCACTTCTCCATAAAAACTTCCTACAACATGCCTCAATTTTCTTGCAAATATTGATTGATATTGAAACTATTTGCATAACATAATAGAAAATGGTAGACAAAATAAATTTAAAAAAATTGGATAATAAATACATTCAAATCATTATCTATATCTTATTCGAATCTGAATAATAATTTTATTATGTAAATTTAATTATAAAATATCATAATTTTATTTAATAAAATTTATAAGTCTCTCTTCTTTTTCACAAACTTTTAAGCGATCAACATGAAGATCAAACACCTAACAGTAGCTTAAATTAGCTAGGCGGCCTAAGGCATTGAATCACGTTAACTTCTTTTGTACTATTTTTCTACACACCGCACAAAAAATGAGGCAATGACTTTTACGTTTCAAGTTTCAACAAATCCATATTACTTTACCTAAACATAATTATTCTTTCTCAAAGTGATCATCATCGACATTATTATCGAAGGCTTGTCTACCTACGGCTACTCATCCATCCCCGCACAACTAACTGACCTTTCTGCGTCTTTGACTCATCGAACGAGATACGACATGAGATTCCATTGATCTCAATGCACGTCAGCCACACATTTAGAGAAGGCTGTAAAATGAAGACAAAAAGTCAGGTAAACGTAACGCAGTGGATTCGTTAAGAGACCATCCATCTGTCCCCACGTGTTTTACCGTCACCCCACAGTTACGTCGTCGCTCTTCTCTTTCTTTCTCTCTTACGCTCAGCCTCGTATATTCTGCTGCAATTAATAGACCAATGGTCAGCATCAGGAGAAGGATACGGGACCAAAAAACCAACCCGTCCTGAAATGCAACGTGTAATACTTTTAAATTTTTTTTAAAGAAATAAAGACGGTATAAAAAAATTCGGTATAAATAATTGGATCTACCTTTGCAATTAGCATCTTAGCTCTTGATTCTCAGCATCTCCATCAAGATCCTACCCTCAACTTGCCCATCCGACCGCTAATATTTCTCTATCCCATTCTCTTTCCTAGCTACTATCATTTATAAGTCTTGTTTTACTTTCAAACCACAGGAACAGAACCAAAACTAGAAAATCTTTCAGACAGCTGAGTTTAGAGAAGGAGAAACCGAAAAGAAATAAACATGAAAGTGTTGGTGGATTCTCCGCTCGAAGCTTTAGCATTTAACTATGTAAGTTTTGGGATTTTCACGATTGTTAATAATCTCTGGACGTGGGTGGCCGTCATCACGGCTGCGGTTAGTTTTTGGAAGATCAGAGCAGCTGGCTCCGCCACTCCATCGTGCTCCGTTGAAAAGTCAGACCAAAAGCCGTCAAAGTGCATTATCGATCGTGGCCAAGATGAGTCTCAACCAATTCCCGAGGCTAAAGAAAAGCCGATTCCTTCAGCCTTGGTTTCAGCTCCAGCTGGCCTTATGGAAATGGGTGTTTCGTCGCCGTTAGTTTGCCATGATGCAGTCACCAAAGGAGGGAAGTTCAAGTTGACTGTTTATTCCGAAGATGATGGAGATAGCCACGTCGACGGAGAGATGACGGCAACGGAATGGAGTGACAGTGACGGCGATTGCAAGGAATGGAGTTGCGGGGAGTGGTGGGAGAGTTGGGAGCGAATGCTGAGGGTGAGAAAGGGGCAAACGGGGTGGTACCGATATCAGGATTTGACGGCGATAAACGGCAACGTCGTTAGGTTATGGGATGACTGTAGGAGAGGAAGCTACGGCTCAAGCTTTGCTGTATGGTAGTTGGTGTTCCATAGGATTTTAATGTACTTGGTAATATTGTTTTTTTTAATTGTCTTAATGACTTTCGGTTTTAAGGTGGTGGAACATGTAAATATATTTGTTGGACGGTACAACAATTGAAAAACCAAAGCAAAATCCTTTTAAAGTTAATTCCTCTTTGTGTATTTATTTAGTACAGTATAGTCTCTTTTTGTTGCTTAATTTGTGATTTGAAATGGTATGCAGATTCATCTTCTTCATGACTTCAAAGATGGCAAGTTTTGTTCTAAAATTTTGCAGGCTGTTTCTCCTAAATGTTCCAGTATTCAAGGGAAAATAAGCCAAAAGGAAACTGATTTGTCTTTCTATTGTGTTCTTTGGGGTTTAGGTCAGCCTCTCAGAAGCGAAAGTGATGACAGAAGAAGCCCTTTCCTCGAGGAAACACACACAATAAACAAATCTGTGGACTGCCCATCTCTCTTAATATAATTGGTAGCTTGTACGATGAGCATTTCCCCAATGTCTAGTGTGGGTTGGTTCATTGGTTGGCATTTCTTAAGCTCTAGAATCTCGATGACCCACCACCTAATTTTCTCACCTTATTAATTACTACTAATAATTATTGATAGGGATATTGCTTGTGTCTTTTGTTTTTTGGGTGAAACAGGCTGTTGCCCTCGTGACATCCGAAGGGCCTTAAGGCTCTTTTGCTTGTTTAATAAGAAAAAACACAAATGGGGAGGAAAGACAAAATTTGTGGAACTTGAAAAGCTCATGGTCGTTTCAAGACGAAAACAAATTAAATTTACAAATTTACTTACTACAGTAACTCTAAATTTGTGTTGTATTTCAACGCTCGCTCTCAATCAACTGTGTTTGTGAGTAATTAAGCTAATGATTTCTACCACTAGTTTTTGAGTAAGGCATAATGTTGATAGATTTTCAATAAATACTGTAATTTCAATCATTTGCATTGTTATAAAGACTTGTTAGGTGCTCGTTGTTACTACAGATTGTGTATTGGTTTCCCTTTTTTCGTCGTGTTCTCTTATCAATTGATTTCTTGTTTCCTTTATTTCAATATTTATAGAGTTGGATTACTTGATTCCTTTCAATAACTTGTGCAGCTATCGAATAGGCCATAACAGTTCCCTTTTATGACAAGGACTCGTCACCCTTTCTTTCTAAACCTTGCCTTCCCTGAGTAAAACCTTCTTGGCTATTGGGGATGCCCAATATTTTACTATGCTAACATGTTTTTGAATGAGTAACTGATCAATCCTAATTAAAGCTTCAACACTTGGGGTAAGTCCTTCCCAAAAGCGACCAGCTGTTTGCAAAGAATTCCCTTTTAGTAGCATAAAATCTAGATTAGCTGGAGTAGGTATAATGGGATATGAGACAAAAACCAAGAAGTTCGTGCATGCATTTCAATTCCTAAAAGATATTCCCCTTGAGTTATAAGCTAGCACCACTAACATATTAGGACAAACTCTGTCTGGGCATCTGTATCTGCCTGCCTGTTGATAACATATCAGAACGAGAACGGTAAATACCACCTACCCTAAAATCCTTCTGGTTAATTAGACCATAAAATAAACAGAGACAATAATCCCAAGATGTCAATAATAATAATAATAATAATGATAATAACTAATTTAATGTACTAGTGGCAGAAATAAATGATAGGATTGCTTCTTTATCAACAATCAAACAAATATTAACAAATACGCACTGGTATCTAGTAGAAATAATAAAGAAGATATTGCATTAATTCATTGTATATAATACGGGAGGAAGAAACAGAAGAGATTTTTTCTTTTCATTTAAAATTTACAAGGAAAGTAAGAATTAGTACTAGTAAATATATAAAACATGCAGCGAATAATATAAAATTAGGTACATGACAAAAAAACAATGGTTTTAAAAGGAAACATGCACGGGATAGATTAAAGAAAGGGTCGCTGAAAAGAGGTCTTACTTGTAAAGTGATTGCTTTCTCTCTTTCGTTTTGCCTTTTGCCATAGTATTCGAGACAGATTGGAGTTGGATATCGCCATCCTAATATAAATAGACCATCAACTAATATCAGGGCAAGCGAAAAAAGGTCGATGCTGCTGCTGTTTTCGCTAAAATTTTCTAATTTTATATGGTTCATAAGATTGATGGGGTTGCTAGGTGTAACGGATGTGAGAATTAATGAATGAAGTAATTTGATTCATACGTAGTTATTTATAGCCAAACTGGGTACGAGCATGGGTGTGAAAGAGCCATGAATCCCTGACATGGATATTCACCATTTTCATTTATTTATCATAGTGATATATTGGATTAGGTCTGCAAGCAAAGGAATGGTTGTGATGAAATCAAGGGGGAGACAACATGATCCTTTATGGAAGCAAAAGACTGTCAATTTGTCATATGCTAGCTCATCCTGGCCACAAATATTAACCAGCTGAATGAGCCAGGGAGAGCATGCACACGGATCCACTTGCAACGTTGTAAATTTGTAACTCTCCGTTGTTATTTCACATCACAAGTGCATGGCACCAGATCAAACTCTAGATCCCAAAATATGTGCTTTTAACTTCCCATTTACCCGGCCTCTTTCTCTATGTTAATTTGTTTTGATGAAGTTGGACGAAGAAACGAAGCAGGAATGGATTCCAGTTAAGAGGTAGTACATTTGTTGGCTTTATCGTGAACCCCACCAGAAAGACTCAGAAAATCACAAGCCATGCTCCCGATGCCTCCAAAGTGGCATATTCTATTCTATTGCAGCATGCATCTCCACCCCACATTGCGGACTTTCAAGTGAAAGGAGCATCTCCCTCTAAGTGGCCTTCCCATCACTTGATCCTGACTTTCGAAATTTGCAATTATATGGCTAATTATTGAACACAATTCTGGATTCTCAGCATCCTAGCTTTTTTGACTGGTTGATAGGTGACATTTTTTCTGTTGCTAATCTCCACGACAGGGATTAGCATTGGTTTAAACTTAGTTTAACAATGAAAATTTCAGTCTGTTAACAGACAAAAACGAAGTATGTATCCTCTAAAGAGGAAAAAGTAGAAATTAGAGAGTAAAAAATGAGACATCCCCCGAAGTAAAAATTGGATTCCGAACTGACTTTAAACAAACGACTTTTCCCGAAGGAAAATCTTGCTTGCTTTCGGATTCCAAATGACAGCTAGAATAAAGCATCTGTCGTGCTGAGACTGGGAGATGACGTTGCATCGTACTGTTTTAAGGGGAGGAAGCAAGTGGCAATGATAGGTCCGAATTCCAAAATGCATCGTATCACCCAATAAAAAAGCCAAAGATATATAAATTGACATAAATAAGAAAGGCCTGACACAGTGGAGGCACTCCTGGATTCCTTACCACAATGCAGAATGCCGGGTCATCCATTGGCTGGATACAGAAGTTCAATCAAATAGAGCGGCCTTAAGGTCCCAACCAGCAAATGTTACCTTTCAGATGGAAGCCGGACCACCCAATTTATTGGTTTAAGGGCATTTCAGCGGTGATTCAAACCCCACCATCACCAATTCCCACACTCTGTTTTATTGATTGCAATCCAGCTTCACATGGACAAAACCATTGCCAAAAAGCTCTAGCCAAAACTGCATGGTAACTTGTCCCAATTTCAATATACACCAGAAATAGCCCAATTCATGTGTGAACTCAAGAATGCCTAAAGCCATGTAAATGTAGTTTAGAGTCATGAGTGGTCTACTAATAAATTGTTTTCTTAATCAAACACTCATGCCTGGCTAAGAATCGTCCTTTGGTGTTGTTTCTTCCTCTCTGGTGAAGAACTGTACTAATTGGTAATCATTCGTATGGTAGGCGTTCGGTTGAAGACATCTAGTCAGGTTGGGCTAATTGGTTAATGCTTTATGCTGGAATTAGGAATATATAATTGCAAACTGCTTCCTTGGAAGGGCCAGCTGATTTTTGGCAAGAGATTCAAAAGATTTAAAGCTGGATGAAGAAAGTCTTTGAATTAGGTAAACCTACATCCGACCAGGCTTGTATAATATGCGATAATTCGTTCCCTGGTGGTGGGTCATACGGCAACCCCTGCTGCACTGTGTCTCGCACATGCCTTGCTTCAGAGCCGAAACAGAGCATCACAAACCTCATACGCTTGGGACCGAGGGCTTTGTTATCAGGTTACATTCAATCATTTATCTTTGTCAGGCCCCATGGTTGCACTAGTTTCACGTTAATGGACTTTTGGAGATAAGGGAAAACTGTTCATCATTTCCAAACCATCCATCTCATTTTCGTACTCGGATTGTGATGTTTCAGTTCTGATTTTTATCCAAATAGAAGCAACTCTTTCTCATCCATTTTAATCCTCAATTCTGCATCAAACCAAGGTTCAATTCTAGATTCTTGAGACAATCCCTTGAAAGGATCAGCAATTTGTCGTGTTCTTTATCATTAAGTACATATGAAATGTTCAAGAAAAAGAAAGAGATACATCCTCAGGCCATAATCTTTTAAAGGGAAATAATAATTGAGAAAATGAACTTTGGTTTTTTTTTTTTGTCACATCCTTTGTTGTTAAGGTGATTGTCTGCCGTCTTAACATTAAGAGTGCGGTCAACAGATGATAAAATACATTGATTACAGGTTATATAATTTGTCGTCTAAAGCAACAAAGATTTAGGCCACTAAAAATCTGCTATTACATTAGAATTCCACTACATTTAAGTGGGTGGGAGTGGGAGTGAAACTCTAGTCCTCATTGGGCAGAGGGAGGCCAATAAATGGCAAATGTTGGATATGGTCTCTAATTAATTATTTACCGAATGCCGACGTCTTTGTTCTTGTTCTTGCATTGGATTGCTGTCACCGCGGTGCATTAACTCTGAATAAATTTCACCTCCGGATTGCCAACTCTACCCTTTACATTATACACCAATACGCCATCATATACTAGTAAAGTTAAAACAAACTTGGGGGTGACTTAGTCATATACCCAACTATTATTGCGTGCCATTAGACTAACATTCACTCTCCCCCTATAAGATCCACCTCACCAACGAAGCAAAACACCTACACTTAACCGTCGCTTAACAGCACTCAAACATGATGACGATCCCTTTCTTTCTCTTAACAACTAGCCTCCTTTGCCTCTCCTCCGCCGCCGCATCAAAGCAAGGTGCACCTCGAGATCTGGTCCGTTCATCGTGCGTCCATGCCAGCTACCCTAGCCTCTGCCTCCGTACCCTCTCTTCCTACTCTGGCCCCGCCAACACCCCACGCGACTTAGCCCAGGCTGCAGTCAAAGTCAGCCTCTCCCGTGCCCGGAAAGTGTCTAACTACTTAACAACCAGTGTGACGGGGAAGAGCAAGAGGGAACGAGGTGCACTGAGTGACTGCGTGGAGCAGATAGCTGAGTCGGTGGACGAGTTGAGCAGGACCCTCGGGGAGTTGAAGCATTTGAGAGGGGAGACGTTCGAGTTCCAGATGAGTAATGCGCAGACTTGGGTGAGTGCGGCTTTGACGAATGAGGACACGTGTCTTGATGGGTTTGAAGGAGTTGACGGGAAAGTGAAATCGGATGTGAAGAGGAAGATCACAAATGTGGCTAAGGTTACCAGTAATGCTTTGTACATGATTAATAGGCTTGACGAGAGTCGTGGAAGGCACCGGTCGAATCCTTGATGGTGATGATGATGGACGACTGTGATTTAGCTGGCTTATCATGCTTATTGTGTTCTCTTTTTTTTTTTTTTAGAGTTTGTGTTATTTTTTATTTTTTCTTGTTTTTGCTGAATCTGTATGTAATATTTTTCTACTTATATATATATATATAATATTAGCAGAGAACGACATGCTTTTCTCTTTGTTTCTATTTTCTGTTTTTAAGCTTAATAATATAATGAATCGATAATGAAGCTCCATTTATTTAAGCAATAACGTATTTGCAACATAAGCATTTGATGTGACATTACTTTTCTTGGCCGGTGTCTTGTTTTACTGAGCAGAGGGTTACTGGGGGCAAAGAGCAAACCTTCTAAGGATAGATGGATGGGAAATAAATTCATTGTCGGACCAAAGTTGTATATTGAAAACCAAGTATAATGATCTGGATGACGACACCAGTCACGTGATTGCTGGGCTAAAAAACATTAATCGTTGTCGTGTTTGTCATCTGCCTGACTTGGCTCCCCTTGTCCGGCCTCCTCCAAATTTATGGCGAACCAACAAATGTTTCGACACTCTTGAATCTTGTCTTTGCGTATTTCCATCGCCTTGAGATTTGCGAACGAAATCTTGATCATGTTCGTAACTGTTTCAAGTGCCGAACGCAGAATTGTTTACACAACAATTGAATAAAAATGTCTTCTTCAGAACATTTGTTAGAAAAATCCAAAAATAATAAAAAAGGGGTTAAATTATTGGTCTTGAGACCGTAGGTCAGGTACTTTCGGAAGGTGAGCTCCATTGCAAATGATGATAGCTATAGTTGTCTATTGATGTTGACAATTTTGTAGTATAAGTGATGGGATAATGAGATTCAATCATGTTAAGCTCAAAGACAATGCCAATAAGGTTTATGATAATCAAGTTTTCATTGGGTTAATGCTTGAGTTAATTATTTTTTGTTTTGAAAAGTAAAAAAAAAATGTTAGATTAATTATGATACAATCGGTTTAAAATCTTAATTATTTGTCTATTTTTTTAAATTATATGTTTATCTTTATTTTTAAAATAAATTTTTTAAAAAATAAATAATAAAAACATCAACAAATTGAAACTTAATTTAAGTCAAAATTTTGTGAAATGATATAGGTAAAAAAGTTGATTAAGGAAAGGTTTTGGAAAGGTTGCATGAACAACACGCCAAACGCTTCTTTAGCAATTTTATGGTTACATATGACATAAGCCATAGTGGCCTTTAAGTTCCAAATACGGATTGGAATCTATATAGTTAAAAAAAAAAGGGAAAAGAAAAGAGGCTTGTCTGATTTGTTGATAAAGACTAGCAGATAGTAGGACATTTATCTCATAGTCTAGCGAAATTTGAACTGATTTCCTTCCAGTTTTTTTTTTTATTATATATATGCGGTCCATCAATGAGAAAACTCTTTTTCAAGTTTTATTTTATACTTTGTTATAATCCAAATTTCGTTTTTCCAAAGTCTACATGTTTTACATTAATTTCATGAAAAATGAAAAATAGTAAAATGTGCAGCAATTACTACATGGCCAAAAAGAGTTGTTTCGAAAAAAATTGTAAAGAAATAAACAAAACAAAAATAATACTTTTTATTCAATTGAATATTAATTTAAATAGTCATAATATTTTGAAAATTTTAAATAATTTTTTATTTTTTATTACTTTAATGAAATTTTTATAATTAATTGATTAATTATTATTAATTAAAATATTATTTTTAATTTTTATGTCATATAATGTTGATATGATATGTCTTAATAGATGATGATATGACATAATAATATAAACATTTTGACTTTTTTCACTCTCCTTAATTAACATTCAAGTCATATCTACAATATAAAAGTATAAAACGATAACTAATATTTTAATTAATAATAAAAATCTATTTAACTCAAAGTAAAAGTATATGAGCTTTGATAGAAGGTAATTGAAGGATAAAAATTTATTTGAATTTTTTAAAAAATTAAAAAATTTTAAAACATTATACTTTTTGAATAATAAATATTGTCGGATTTATCATTTTCCTTTTTCAAAATTATTTAACAAAAAGAATTAATAATATCTTTATGGGCCGTGAAGCTGAAGTATTGGGCCTAGTTAAAAACTCCAACTGCGAACCGCCTTAGTCCTCTTATGTAACGAACCCGTTCCCATTGATCCAAAATGCAAAACCCAAAAACATTTTTTCCCGCTGCATAAACCCTAGCAGCCCCTCTCCCCAAACTAACCGTCTGGCGTTTTCAGTGACAAAAGAGGAAGAGAGGAAAACAAGGGCAAGAAACCAGCATCGCCTTCTCGCCATGGAAGGCATCGATATGGAAGGCCCAGACGTCTTCCCCGACTCAATGGACGGCGATTTCTGCGACTCGATCCTTGCTCACTTCTCCAAATCGGATCAAGAAGACAGCCAACGCCTTTGCGCCACCATTGGCTCCATGTCTCAGGAACTCAGAGAACAAAACCTTCCTCTCACTCCAATCGCCTACTTCGGCGCTACCTGTTCCTCTCTCGACCGCCTCTCCTCCCAACCGGACTCTCCTCCTCACGTCATCCAGTCTCTCACCACCATCCTCTCTCTCCTCCTCCCCCGTATCCCCGTCGCCATTATAAAAAAGAAAGGAGATTTCGTTTCGACAACTGCCCTTACTGTTCTAAGATTAAATTCCGTTACGGAGGTTACACAGACTTCAGGTTTGAAGTGCTTAGCTCATTTATTAATTACCGGAGAGAAAGTTAATTGGTCGGATTTGTCACAAAATTACGGTGTAATGCTCGGATTTTTAACTGATTCCCGCCCTAAGGTAATTTCTTTTTTTAATGTAAAAATTTAAATTCAATCAAACTCCAACTTCATTGTTTTAATTCTCTGCAAATTAATTTTTAAAATAGGTGAGAAGACAATCACATTTGTGTCTCCGTGACGTTTTACAAAGCTTCCGAGGTACGCCGGTGCTCGCGCCTGCAAGCGAAGCCATAACGAACTTATTTGAGAGGTTTCTTCTGCTCGCGGGAGGTTCAAACACGAATTCTAACGAGCGGTCCAAAGGAGCTCAGGAAGTTCTCTATGTTTTGGATGCTCTGAAGGACTCTCTTCCGCTTATGTCGATGAAATACGGGACTACTATTCTTAAGTACTATAAAACTTTATTGGAACTTCGGCAGCCTCTTGTTACTAGGCGTGTAACTGATAGTTTAAATCTAGTTTGTACTTATCCAAATGTTGAAGTCTCAGCTGAGGCATTGCTAGATTTGTTATCCTCGTTGGCTCTTTCTGTTTCTGCGAATGAAACATCTGCTGTTAGCATGACGTTTAATGCTCGTTTGTTGAGTTCCGGAATGATAAAAGTATATTCTCTTAATAGACAACTTTGTGTCATCAAGCTCCCCATTGTGTTCAGTGCACTCAAAGGTTTGATGTTTTAGTTTGGTTTGCAATTATTGTTAGTTAGGAATTTGAAAAGATGTTATGTTATGATTATTGGAATTTGATTGTGATAGATATTCTGGGGTCGGAACATGAGGAAGCTATTTTTGCTGCCACGGAGGCTTTCAAGAACACGATAAATGGCTGTGTTGATGAAGGCTTGATCAAGCAGGGAGTGGATCAGATTATTAATTCAATCTCGGATGACAGAAAGGCAGGTCCAACTATCATTGAAAAAGTTTGTGCAACCATTGAGAGCTTACTTGATTATCACTATGGTGCTGTGTGGGACATGGCATTTCAGGTTGTTTCAGCAATGTTTGATAAATTAGGTACTATCAGTGCTGTGGGTTGCCTGTCTCTTGGTCTTATTACAATGTTTGTGTAAATTTGAAAGTAAAATTCTTTAACCGGATTGCTATTCTGCAGGGTATTATTCTTCATATTTTATGAAGGGAACCCTTAAGAACTTGGCTGAAATGCAAAGGTTGCCTGATGAGGATTTTCCTTACAGAAAACAGGTATTCCTTGACCTCAAGAATCTGTATGTTGCCCTGGGGTTAAACAAGGTTTTTGTAATACAATGTATGAAATGGTACTTAATGGTCACAGCTGTGCTTAATATAAACTTTCAAGAAGCAATAAGAGTTGGAAATGGAAATAAATGAGGTTTGTGAGGCTATTCATCCTTCATCTTTTGCCTTGCTGGTATCTATTGCTTAGTGTTTCATGATTGATATGATAAAGTTTTCCTACTTCAAAGTGTAGCATTTCTGACCTGTTACGTCTTGGTTTTTGATATTTCTTTGTCATGTAATCCATAACCTGTGGATATACTGACTGTTGGTTTGCAGTTACATGAATGTGTTGGATCTGCTCTTGGTGCATTGGGGCCTGAGACTTTTTTAGGAATTCTGCCCCTGAATTTGGAGGCTAATGACCTCTCAGATGTAAACGTTTGGCTCTTTCCAATTCTGAAGCAGCATATTGTTGGTGCTAACTTGAGCTTCTTTAGTGAGACACTTTTGGGTCTGATTGGAGAAATGAGGCAGAGATCTCGTAAGGTAATTCCTGCTCTTGATGTTTTCATCTTTTTATTGTCTGTAACCTTCTCTAATTAATTCTTAATTTTGGCAGCTTGAACTACAAGGAAAAATTTTCTCATCAAGGAGTGCAGATGCTCTTGTATACTCACTGTGGTCCTTGTTGCTTTCATTTTGTAATTATCCTTTGGATACTGCCAAAAGCTTCAAGGATCTTTTAAGTCCTTTATGCACTGCCCTTCATGAAGAACATGATATTCGTGGAATAATATGCTCTAGTTTTCAGATTCTGATCCAACAAAATAAGAAAATTAAGGAAGGAAAAGATGATTTGTGTAGTTCTGATATAAGTCCAGCCAGACAGCGAGCTATGTCGCATTATACCCCAGAAATTGCTGGGGACAATTTGAATGTACTAACTGCATCTGCTCCACAGTTATTGTCACTTTTGTCGGGAATCTTCATGGAATCTACAGTAGATGAGGGTGGATTTTTGCGGGTACTTATACTGTCCTAATTAATGAGAGTGCAGCATTTCATTCTGTTATTGTGTCTCTTTGTCCTAGGCGTTACTTAGTTGGATGGAAGGGAGGAAGGAAAGAAAAAGCTTTAATCCAATGGTTGAGCTATGAAATAGGAAAGTGGTTATAAAATCTAACCATTAAAAATTTCCATCCTTCCTACCAAGTAAAGCCTTAGAAACTTATATAGTAATGTTATAGGGTTAGTTTCATTTATGTGGTAATTTCAGTTGTGCCCAATTTGATAATGATTATTGCTCCTTCTACAGTCCACAATTGGGGAGTTGGCTTCCATAGCACATGAAAATGTTGTCAGAACCTTATTTAAGAAGACAATGCACAGGCTTTTGAAAGTCACACAAGAGGCTGGTTTAGCCGAGGCGTCAAGGAATAATAATTCTATGCAGGTTGATGATTCATCAACTGAAAGCTCGTTATCTCTTGAAAGGTGATTCTACAGTGCTTATATTTGTAAAATTTTTAGACATTTCAGTTCTATAGTGCTAATGACAGTATCCTTTTCTTTTGATATTAACTGCAGGGTGCTGTTATTTGACCTGGCAGTTTCACTATTGCCTGGTTTAGATGAGCCAGCATTAGATGTCTTATTCAGCGCAATAAAACCTGCATTGCAGGTTGGTTTAACAATTCTCGTTTTCTCTGGTGATAGTAACTGAGTTGTTGCTAAAGTCTATCTTTATGTTGGAGAGGTTAAGTTACAACTTAAAAGAAAATGTTATTATTAATCTGCAGGATGTCGATGGCTTGATTCAGAAGAAGGCTTACAAAGTGCTTTCAATAATCCTCAGGGTATCTCCTTTTTTCATTGCAAATGCTTCTAAATTTTATCATTTTTTGTTTCCATGCATTTTGATGCATATTTTATATTCCAATTTCCAATATCTCCCTCTGTCCCTTCTCTTTTAATTTTTCATTTTTAACGATGCTTCCGTATTTTTTGTTTTCCTTGTCAGAACCAAGAAGGGTTTCTATCAGCAAAACTGGAGGAATTGCTGAAACTTATGATTGAAGTGCTGCCATCATTTCACTTTTCTGCCAAACGCCAGAGACTTGACTGTTTGTACCATCTGATTGCCCATGTCTCAAAGGTTATAAGAAACTAACTTGAGTCTTCCATCTCCCTTGTGAATGGACATAAAATTGTTTAGGTGATTACATCAATCATTCTAACAATCTTTTTTGAAGATTAACAAATGCTTCTTTGCACAGGATGATTCAGAGCAGAGGAGACATGATATTCTTAGTTCTTTCCTGACGGAAATAATCCTTGCTTTGAAAGAGGTATGATGTAGACATCTGATCAGCAACATCCATCTAGTTTTCAAGAAGAGATGATTTCTTTTGTGAATAAGGAACCTGCTGGAAGTACAAATTATAACTGTGTTGCATGTTATTATTTTCTCATGGGCACTATCTTAATAGTTCTGGAAGTGCTTCCTGCATATGTTTTCTGATTCCTTTTGTATGGTGACTTTTATGCAGGCTAATAAGAAAACAAGAAATAGAGCTTATGAGGTCCTTGTCCAAATTGGCCGTGAATATGGAGATGAAGATGACAGTGGACAGAGAGAAAACCTGTTTAATCTGGTATCGAACCTGTTTACTATGCTATAACTCTTTGATATTTCCTCAGTGGCAATACATAAAGCTGTTGCCTTGTTTTCTTTTTGTAACTTTAGCAAATTATAAATGTCTCAAATGCAATTTTGTGTTTTTCTTTAAGTACTTTTAAAGAAATTGATTGTTGTGGTCTGTTGTAAGTATTATTCTATGCAGGTTTCATATGTTCAAAATGATATTTAAATTTTTTGCATGCATGATCACAGGTTGCTAGAGGCTTGGCTGGAGAAACTCCTCACATGATTAGTGCTGCTGTGAAAGGCTTGGCTCGGTTGGCTTACGAGTTTTCTGATCTTGTTTCTTCTGCTTACAAGTTGCTTCCTTCAACATTTCTTCTTCTTCAGAGAAAGAACAGAGAAATTATTAAAGTTTGTTTTCTCTCTCTCTCTCTCTGTCTCTCACACACACACACACGTTTTGCTTATGGATCCGTTCCTTATGTTGTATCTTTTTGACTGTATCACTTATATCTGCAAATGCTTATGATGCAGGCTAATCTGGGTTTGTTGAAAGTGTTGGTGGCCAAATCAAAAGCTGAAAGCTTGCAAGCACACCTGGCCAGCTTGGTGGAAGGCTTGTTGAGGTGGCAAGATTATACCAAAAATCATTTTAAGGCTAAGGTTTGTGCTCTTTTTCTTCATATACCATTGTTTTTGGTCATTATTACCTTTCTGAACTATTTGATTTTAATTCTTTCAAAACGTTACAAGTTTGATATGTATTCTGTTTTATAACGTGTTAGTGAGAGAACTGACCTTATTTTCCTTATAGGGCCTCTAGTTTGTTCAACTCATCCTGCATTTAGGAGGGTTCATTTTTATTTTATTTTGCTTCTGTAAAATTTAATTTGCTTAGAATATCAATTGATGGGACTAAAATTTGGACCAAGATGTTGATATACAATTGAACTGTGTGTATAACAGATAATATCATTTGCTTTTTGTATGTGTATATTTGTTGGCTTATGGGTGTTTCTATTCTAATTTCAGGTTAAGCTTCTTCTGGAAATGCTAGTCAGAAAATGTGGTATTGATGCTGTGAAGGCTGTTATGCCTGAAGAACACATGAAGCTCCTTACTAACATACGAAAGGTTTGTTGAGGAATGCCATTTTGTTATACGCAGATATGTCAAGACTTCATTTTTTTTAAGGATGTTGCTCATCATTCTTAAACACAGATCAAGGAGCGGAAAGAGAGGAAACAGGCTGCTAGCTCTGTGGAAAGCAGATCTCATCTATCAAAGGCAACCACATCCAGGTTTCACATCTCGCTTTATTGCATTGATACAATCATATAGTGATGGACTGTGTACAAATAACAATATACACGCTACACATGTCCATGTATTTATGAACTTGCACCTTTGCTTCCCGTTACACTTGCGATTTTTTAAATTATCATGTGACCACTACATTAACAAGGTGTATTTATGGATAGCATTCATGCTTGGAAATTTATGCTAGACAGTTTCGTATCTTGAATGAATGGCCATGGTGAACCTTCTATGTTACCGTTTTCCCTTCTTTCCTTGTTGAGCAGAGAGTGGTGGATGTGCTCCAAATCAAGTTTTCTGTATCTTATTTATTTGTTTGCCTCTGATTTTTCCTAGTAATTTGAATGTGCAGGCTTAGCAGATGGAATCATACCAAAATATTTTCTGATTTTGGTGATGATGATACAGATGATAGTGATGGAGAGATGGCTTCTGGCCGACAGAGTAAAGGTTCCTCAAGGTTAAAATCAAAAGCATCTTCACTGCGGTCAGTGGACACCTGATCTTTGTTTTGTATATTAATAATGGATTATTAGTTCCAGTGCATTTGAAGTAGTCTGATTGATGTGATCCCCTACTTTCATATCTTTCAATTATGTTTGGTTGTTGACTCATTCAAATGGAGTTGAAACTTCAAAGAGATATACTATATCTCATGATTAAATCATCAGCAGTTTTACTTCTGGGTGTGTTAAGAATACGGGGTAAAAATTGCAAGAGGTAGGCTGGGTGTTGGTGTTTACTTGAGGAAGTGGAGAGTGGAGGGTTGATCCATTAGTCATCTGGTGGAGAGCATAGGTTCACAGTCTAGTATCCTTAGTGTTTTCCTTGTTAATTTTTTAAGCTGATACAGTCACACCTTTTGCTTTAGGCCCAAGAAAACACGGAAAGCAGATAAGAGCTTGCCTGAAGACTTGTTTGACCGGTTAGAAGATGAGCCACTAGACTTGCTTGATCAGCATAAAACAAGATCATCACTGCGATCATCTTCACATCTCAAGCGGAAGCAAGATTCTGATGACGAGCCAGAGTTTGATCCTGATGGGCGCTTGATAATTCACGAAAGAGGGAAGCCAAAGAAGAAGGTTCCATCCTCTGACCCTGATTCAGATGCAAGGAGTGAAGCACGAAGTCATTTTTCTGTTGGCTCTGCAAGGAACACCCAGAAGCGAAGGAAAACATCAGAGTCGGGATGGGCATACACCGGTAACGAGTACGCTAGCAAGAAGGCTGGTGGGGATGTGAAAAAGAAGGATAAGCTTGAACCATATGCGTACTGGCCTCTTGATCGCAAGATGATGAGCCGTAGGCCAGAACATCGAGCAGCTGCTAGGAAGGGCATGGCAAGTGTGGTGAAAATGACAAAAAAGCTTGAAGGTAAGAGTGCCTCAAATGCACTCTCTGTTAAGTTCATGAAGTTTAAGAAGGTTCAAAAGAAAGGTGGCAAAAGGAAAAGGTGACCATATGCATAGGTGTTTTCGCCCAAGTTTTGAAAAGATTTTTCAATCGCTTGTATTAGAACTACAGGCCAAAATTTTGGAAGTGATTTGTTGAATTTGGATTGTGTTATTGTGTGTATATAATTACAGTGTCAGCTGGTTAAAATGCTGATGTTGCTGATTTATCCATTTTGCTTACTCTGATTAGAAAGATTGTTTCTATATGATATTTGGTAGAAGTCAAAAATGACAAAAGAAAATAGGAAATACTATAATATCATAGTAATACTCCTCGAAAATAGATATTTAAGGACGAATTCTTTAAAACACTATATTTAATTCCATAAATGATATATTTTTCCTTCAATTTGAGAATTTTGAATGATGTTATGATGAATAAAAGTGGAGGTTTCTTGTATATTTGATCTTTTCTCCTTTTGATGATCTATGGAAAAAGATTAGAAGTTATTAGTATTCGTTCTTATTATTTCATATTTAACACGACACAAACAAGACAGGTTCATGTTTTGGGTCACTGCATTCTCCACGTGTTTAAACAATTCAACTTTACTTAAAGAGAGGTAGGGATTAGGTAAAACTAGTTTGGTCTTTGGTGTTTGTCATGAACTAGCAAGGATCCAATGAACCCGAACGCGATCATGTCAACTATTTGTCTGGTTTGTGCAACAAATCTCACTGTCTCTCAAGAGCAAAGGCATTTAATGTGAGGAGAGCTTCAAGGCCCATTTCAAAGTTTTTATCAAGAATATACAATAGTAACGTACAGCATAGACATTCCATTTTCCTTTTGCTTTTACATTGTTTCTCCACTACCAAAACGAAGGAAAAAGCAGAGTTGTTTCCTTCCTAACTCCAGACCCAATGTTTTCCTTCCCGTCTGGGTGTTGAGGAAATATCATATGCATAAATAGACAGGTGACTTACGTTTTTTCTTCCAATGGCAAGTGCTGAAAAACACATGGCAAAAGAAAAGGGGGAAAGAAAACAGGCTTCCATGAACACAAAAGTCAAAGACCACCACTCTACAAGTGTAACCTGGGCATCTGCCACCTCAGAATTCGTTACAAATTGACTATCAGAGACAACTGATCAGCCATTTTCTTGTACATGAAAACAAAAATTACGAGACCAGAACTACATCTACTGGTGGTTCAATGGCCCATGTCATCTAAAAAGACTAAAAGCTCCATTGTAGCTAATTTACGAGAAAGATGAAATCTTCAAAAACAACAGCGGCATGGGTAACTCTAAAACTTCCTCCTTAAATAGAGCCACACAGTCAGGTCTTTTGTAAAGCTCCCTTGTCTGGCCACCATTCTTCATATAATAACCCTTTTCAAGTGATCTTTGCCTACAGAGGAGATTTGCTGGGTACTCTGCACAATGTGGCTGACCTGTTAACAGTTACCTACCCAAAATTATATGGACCAGCGGGTGTTATTGATGTAGTATACATCAGTATTTTAAGTTTGTTACTTAAATAAGTTTGCATACCTTGGGCGGAATCAAAGAGAACACTGGAAGAGCAGTGCTTGAACTATTTTCACTTGAATGGAGCAAAAATGATAGAGGAGTTGTGGCCGCCAAACCCAAAAGAATTAGACAATGCTGCCTTCACATTCAATCTTTCTTTCTTTGGCCCCACAAGCACATTTGTGTCCTGAATAGATGTGTTGGTAACATAAGATAGTCTCATTGCCAAATTGAGGGAAAAAAGAGAACATTAAATTCTATTTACAAAGAAGAAAAAAGAGTTGCAAAGCATAACTTTTAAAAGAAAAAGGAGGGGGGGAGGGGGGACCAATATACCACTCCTTCATCTGGGCTTTCCAGGTTAACATTAGGATGAACCCAACCAGTCCGTATTGCCTGCAATGAATAGACATTACTATGTCAATTCTCAGGTGTCAAAAAAGGAAACTGAACATGGTAATTGCAAGTCTTTTATATGTAATCATACAATGTAGACATGAGACAGAAAAGAGAGGAAGTGGGGAGAGCAATTATAGTCTTCTTGTAGAACAGATACAAACAACAAAAAATCCAGCATTACAAAATACATTCATGAAATCTGTTTTCTAAATCCAAAATAAAAGCATAACCAAATCTCTAAATTGCCTACCTGTACTGCTGCGACTGCTTCCACAGCACCGGCAGCTCCAAGTAGGTGACCAATCATTGACTTTGTAGAGTTCACTCTTAGCTGCAATAATCGGAGATCTTATCAATAATCACAATGCAGAAATATGAGAAACAGATTATGCATAAAGATCTAGGTATTTGAGAAAAATATGCAAAATTACCTCAGGATTCTTTCCAAAACAATGCATGAGAGCCTCATACTCTTTAATGTCTCCAGCTGGTGTAGATGTAGCATGGGCATTAATGTAATTTATGTCTTCTTTGGATACTCCAGACTGAGCCAAGGCCTTCTCTATGCAGAGAATGACACCAACTCCTATTTTTAAATTTCACAAGATGGATGTTAGTTTAATCTCTCACACAGCAGTATGTGCTGATGCAGAAGAAACATGTAAATACCACTAATTCCATTTTTCGAGGCATCATCATGGCTGGGAATGTTCGAAGGAAGAGGCATAGGTTGCAATCTCAAGATATTTATTCTGCTTAACCAGTAGTGAGAATGAAAACAATTTAAAACCCTAATAGCATCTCTACCTAACATCAAGACATGTACTCTATAATTATCTCTCTCTAACATCAAGATATATTTACCACCGAAATCATTGTCTGACAGAACAAGCAACAAATTATGAGTAGCCAATTAAGAGGAAAAATTAAGTTTCGTGGTCCATCTTTAGAAATAAATAAAGGCATGCCTATGTGCCTAAAAACCAAAGTAAGCTGCTGACTGCTTACATAGATACAAGCTGCGGCCATGTCTTTGTGGTATTGCCACCACAAATAGCTAAATCACCTATGTAAATATGAGTGTAACAAAGTTGAAACAATAGATCAAGATTCTCATTAAGGTTCCTCTTAACTCTATTATACAGAATTATTCTCATAAAATTATCTACAATATTTATTCTCACCAACAAAAACCTCTGCAATGAAATACCAGACAGATAAAATTGGGATTATATAGTAATAAAGACTCGTCTCATTACCATCGGGATGTGGCTCCGTCATATGATAAGCATCACATGTGAAGCTTCCACCCAGAAATTCAGCATAGATGGTTGCACCTCTCCTCTGCCAGAAAAAAAAAAAAAACCTTTGTCATTTTCCCTTTTAAGAAGGGAAGTAATATACACATTCAGTAACTTCATCACAAACTACTAAGTGCAAATCTATGGCTTAGAATATGGCTTTGGAGGGTTAAAGCAAGTGTACCTTAGCATGCTCCAATTCTTCTAAAAGTAGAACCCCAGCACCTTCCCCCATGACAAATCCATCACGATTCTGTGTAAAAATTAGAGCCACTATCCAGGTAAATAACATACATGAAGCAGACCAAGTAAAATTATGTGCATTCAGTAACGGACTTTGACTAGAAAAACCTTAATAAATACATAGAGTAACTTGTCAAAAGTACCATGTGAAGATGCATAACTTACTCATTGTGACCTAAAGAGTTACAAGACATGATAACTAAAGAGGTAGACCACATTTCTCATAACAAAATAACCAGGTTGCTTATTCAAATGATAAAAACTGTTATCATTAGTTTCCACCAAGTTTACTTCTTTAACTCATTCTCATTTTTACAGCTTTTGTTATAGAACATGGAGATAGAAACAACTGCCAAAAAAAAACATAATAAAGGTCTGGGAGCTCAAGAGTTATTGAAACATTACAACATCCCAGGGGCGTGAAGCTTTGGTAGGATCATTGTTCCTCTGCGAGAGTGCTTTGCATGCCACAAATCCTCCCAACCCTGTATCAAGAAACACAAAATAAAGTACGTCATGATGTAATAAGTGGAAAGATTATAAAATGATGTCAAATAAGAAAGCAAGAAAAAGATACCAATGGGTATAATTGCCGCATCAGAGCCACCACAAAGCATCACATCCTGCAATATTTTTCAAATATCTCAGATATAGTGCAATCAAATTATACCATATTATGATGGATGTTTTTCTTCGCTCAACTTACAGCTTCGCCTCTAATGATGTGGTTTGCTGCATTTAATATACAGAAGTTGCTTGTAGCACATGCAGTGGAGATTGAATAGTTAGGACCCATCCATCCCTGAAGAAATTATCAGTTTAAAGCTTGAAGTGCAAAGTTCAGCTTCCATCAAGGGGTATCTTAGCATTGCATAATCTAAAAGTAAGCTAACCAAATCCATTGCAAGCATCGCAGAACCCATATTTGTAGTAGCAAATGGTACGCAAAAAGGATTCATCTTCTTGTATGAGATCCTCAAAGCTTCAATCGCATCATTGAAAACCTGTTATTCCACAAACCACCTAGATGAATCAACTGATAGACAAAGGAAAACTACATTGCAAAGACAGTTTGTTTTAATCCAGTTTTAAGGTCATGAGGCCCTCATGCCTGGTGCTATATACTACACTGGTTTCCATTTCTAGCAAAAGAGTTTACATTATTGAGGCTGACTATAAATTCTAAGATAGTATTACAAAACTGTACTGCTCTCATTTTAGTGTATGCAAGTAACAATGGCCAGCATGTTCTGTTGTATAAAACCAGGTACCCCAGAGTGTTGTCTTCTATTTTGCATCAAGTTTAATATTGACTAATAAAAGTGTTTGTCAGCTCTTTTCTTCCTTCCAAGCATTCCTCACCTTTATCAAATAAAGGGATATGAACAATAGACTGCAGAATTTACCTTCATGCCACCCATTGCTGAACCAATCAAAACTCCACATTTCGTTTTGTCTAGCTCCTCCATGATATCTTCAGTTACTCCACCATCTTCCAACGCTTTCTTTCCAGCAGTAAGCATATAAAGCATGAATTTGTCCATCCTCTTGGAAAGTTTCGGTGCAACCCAACCATCAGTTGAGAAGGATTTTATCTCTCCAGCAATTCTCTGGAGAGAAAACAGGAGCACTAAGAACAAGCACTAGTGCAAACAACATCAGATAAGAGATCTCTAAAACAACTTACAGTTGGAAACTGGGCACAGTCAAAAGTCTCGATTTCACTTATACCACTTGCACCCTCAAGCAAATTGTTGTAGAAGACATCAGGGTCAT